TTAAACGTGAAAAACTTTCGTTGGACGAATTTTCTTGTAAACTTCATATTTACTGAGATATCGCACTTTGACGCACTAATGAGCAACCCTGTATAGGCTGATTCAAAATTGGCGTTATTCCTCTGGACTTGTTCTCTGCGGGTGTTTTAGGAGTACAAAAAAAATTGTGAAAACAATTTTGACCTATTCAATCCTGAGAAATTTGCAAAAATCTATATCAGAAAGACGCCAGCAATGTTTTCAAGGTAATCTGCTTAATTAACATTACGTAAATACCTGTTACTTCGTAATTATTAAAAACTCCGGTAACCATGAAAAAATGCAGTGACAATAAAATAGACAAGGATGATCGGTTCTCTGTTGTAGCAGAATTGGCATTAAGCCATTTGTTCCCGGTCATTTAAATTTTAAATTAAAATCTTTCGGTGTCGAATGTCGCGCCCCGAAAAGTACCGGTATCTCCTGTTCTCTGACTGTTCTTTTGTCTGACATTTATAAGCCATTTTCTTCAAATAACGAATTACACCCCACTAAGCATCAATTAAAGTTGATTTGAACAAAAAAGTAAACACCGGCACCACGCGAACCAAATGCAAGCCGATTTTAAAGTCGGGTATATTAACGTCGTTTTGGCACGCTAAATTAAAATTTAGATTGCTTATAACTTCCTTGTAAGTAATGTGAAATCGAAAAAAAATATAGAACGATTAGTTGGCCATAAATGAATAAAATATGAAAGCAAAAAAATGTGCAAGAGCCTATTCTGCGAAGGTATTAGCGATCAAGCAAATCAAGACCCACTGTGTCTATTTAACGTTTGTTTTTCCGATGAAGGCGCATTTTTTGTCAATGTGTCAACCGTGAGAAGTGTCGTAAGTCCGAGAATTTTTCGAGAAACACAAACGCAACATCTCCAAAAGTCGAACGTGTGCGCTGGTATCTTCGGAGGCCTCCTAGTTGGGCCCTTTTTTCTGGCCAGCAACCTAAATGGAGAAAATACATTTTATTTGGATCTGTTCGAAAATGCAATGGAACCTTTGATTACTCAAATGGGGGGAAAACATTAGGGCTATTTACCAAATCAAATAATGTCCCAAGAAGACGGCACTCCTCGGCATTATACACGGCAGGTTCGAGAGTACTTAGGCCACAAACCACGAAGGTGGATTAGTTGAAGCGGTGCTATCGGGTAGCGACCACCGTATTTATAAATTAAATACAAACAAGTACTTCTAATTGACATTGTCAAAATAATGGTCAATATCACAAAGCAGGCATAATCGAAAACAAAATTGAAAGGGATTTCGAACAAGGTGTCAGTCAAGTGCACATTCTATTAAAGATTTTAGGGGTGGGAAGAGGTTAAAGATAGGAGTTTTGAGAAAAGTCTAAAATGTTTCCATCTCAACAAATAAATTGTCACTTTATTTGTCATTATTAAGAACATTAAACTTGAACCGTTTCACTTACAGTAGCTTGATTGCCGTACGCTTTCAATATTCTATATCGACGGCTGAGGGTAATAATCGGCTAACTCCCAGTCAATACTTAATAAAAGCTGACGCTACATCAGCTACATATAATTGTTCACATGGAAGCAAAAAATAGTTTCAATGAAGTGATCTGTGACAATGAAAAATATAATTAAACGTATTTTTAAGTTTTCATGAACATTATCCGGGATACATTATGTTATCTAAATCTTCTATCATCTATATTCTATCTTTCAGAGCACCTCGATCTCTGACGCATTATTCGAAAGTCATTGGTGGGAACAAACTGAAAAAGTGAAGCGAGTAATCAGCATCATTATGATGCGTTCGAGAAAGCCTTTACGTATTATGATTGGGCCATTCTATCCGCTTACCATACAAACTGCTTTAAATGTAAGTATTGTTGGTATATTACTATTGTAGTTTGTTGTGTGCGTGATGCTTATTGATAAAAAGTTAATTTTTATTGGGTTAAACACTTCATATATAACGACAGAAAAAACCACTATTCATCTTGGGCCAACGATTCGACTATATTTGCGCCGTCCTCAGGGCTCTAAAAGGAAAAAAGTTGTTTTAGTCCAACGCTCAATCAGTCAGGACTGGTGTGGACGGTTAAGAGAAAAATATCAGCAGACTTCAAAATTAATTTGTAGGTTAGTTGTTTGTTAGTGTTTTTTTGGTTTACAAATCTTTCTAACATGGTCTCTAAACTATTCCATCTTGTTTTACAATCGAGAATAAGATTATATTCTTTCTCATATTTCCGTTTTACGTGATTCTGAAGAATGCTTTTTGACAGAGGATTTTCTGAAATATTTGCAAATTTTCCTTACTTTACAAATACTATTTTTATAATCATCCAATAATTCAGGAACAGGTAATTTATAATTGTTTATGTCAAGGGAATCTAATTCTTCAAAGTCATTATCAGACTCCACCACTTGTAGGATTTAAATCTGTTTCCAATGGACTTTTATTTTTATTATATAATATATCAGTAACTGCTAAGTGTATGGCATGTGAATAACACAGTTGATTAATCGCTGGTGATATGTGGCCAATTTTTTTTATAACAGCAGCACCATCATTTGTTGATGCAACTATGTCAGTTGATAAATCAAGATTAAAACTTTTTAGTTTCTCAGAAACCAGTTTTAACATTGTTTTAGCATCGCAAGTACTTGATATCGGAGCTAAATCTAAATTAAAATCTTTTTCAACTTGATGTACTCTAATATTTAAATATCTTCGGTTTCCTTTACCTCCAGTCCATTCATCTATAGTTATAGAAAATTGTTGCCCTTCATTCTGCATACAATTTAATTCATTTATAGTTTCATAAAACTCATAAATAAGATTCATAACTCTAGAATTATTTTGTGGTCAGCAATAATTTCGTTGTTGCAATGACTCTCGTATGAACGAGCTAGTTGTTATGCAATTAATAGATAGTCCATCCACTGCAGTAAGCTTTGGTACAATTTCTTCTAAACTAGTCCTTTACACAAAATTCAACAGGGTGGAGGCAGGGAAGAGGAAACGAGTTTGTCTGGTCGATATTGTTAAACAGATAGGGCCCAGGAAGTTCCAATTTTTAGGTTTGCGATCGTAGAGTAATTGGTTTGGTGGAGTGTGTAATGGGTTTACTGGGTGTCTGATCTTTGTGATCAGTATCAGTGCTATCTGTTCTCTATATACCGATTAGTTTTATCAGTAGCGTTTGTGATTAAAATATGAGCGTAATCTATTAGTGGTCTGCAGATCGCTTTGTATATTATGGTTGCTCTCTTGGTATTGATACTCTTGTTTTTGTAAGTAAGAGTACGGAAGTGTTTTGCTCTCTTAGTTAGTTCTGTTCTAATGTTTTGTACGTGTTTAGTGATTATTAATTTATAGTCTATTGTAATTCTATTCACTTCACACATTCCATTCACATTGTCGGTGGGTTTGGTTATTTGGCTGTCCGTGATGATGGTTAGCGAGTCTGTTTTAATTCGAGGAGTCTCCATTTGTAGAACTAGGCTGTTATTATGTCCGTTAGTGTCTGGAATCTGTCCACTGCTCTATCGGTCGTTCTGTCATGTGCGATAAGGGTGCTGTCGACAGCGCATTTCTGCATGTAAGCGTTTTGGTCTATACCTTCTTTGTCTTGTCTGTTACAAATTATGTTCTCGCTTTTGACAGCTTCCTTAAATTGTAATTTTCTGAATTATTTTGCAGTAATAAATTATTATTTAAGATGGTCAAAGTTCCGCAACTAGGAAACTTTTGAAACTTTCACATTACATTAACTCGCCGGTGGCTGGGCAGTTAATTTTCAGATAACCAATATGTTGAATTGTTTTATCTACTGCACATAGTTTAACTGCTGTCTTTAAGGAACAATTTTTGTAAAACAGACTTTTTAAGTTCATATAGGTGCATACATGTATATGTATTGTACGTACTATTTGCCGGATTAATACCAACTATTTACTAGTTCGCCGTTTTTTAACTTTTTTTGTCTGTTTCAGTCTCTCAGAGCTGCCTATTCTTACGTCACTTTAATTTTCGCTATATCTACAAGGAATACGATGCATGTTTAGGCTGCTGAAATAACTATGAAATCATATTACTGATATCTATATTTGTTGTTATAATTCACTTTAGATTTAGAAATACTTAGCAATGTTGCTTAGGAAATAATTTATATTGTACTCATCAATAATCATATTTATTTAATAATGTCTAGTGAAGTTTCAGTCTCTCACTTACCTATTCTTACGTCACTTTAATTTTCGCTAAATCTACAAGGAGTACAAAGCATGTTTAGGCTGCTGAAATAACTGTAAAATCATATTGCTGATATATTTGTTGTTATAATTCACTTTAGATTTAGAAGTACTTAGTAATGATGCTTAGGAAATAAATTGTTTTGGACTCATTTCTTCATTTAATAACAGTGAAGTTATTTATATCTAAAAGTCAAAATACAGTTCTTTGAGGGTCTATAAACGGACTGCATTTAAAGACTTCGAGTACATGCATAATTATAATAATTGATACAGGGTGTCTCAAATTCAAGTGACAGACTAAACTTATCTTTTTTTAAATAGAATGCGGTACTTTTTATTGCATATTCGAGATATTCGTAAAATTCTAGGCATATTCGATACAAATGTTCTATATTGAATTTGAACTCTTTTTGAGTTAATAACCAATATTGATTGAACTTTCGCCACCCCCTTTTTAGGAAATACCCTACCTAAATATGAATGTATTTTATTGACTAAATATTATTAGAGCTGGTCGTTGGTGACTTAACTTACATATCAGGAGGCAGTTTTTCAGTGGCATTTAAAATAATAACCTTTTTAAAATTGATTTTGTATCTTGTCACTAAAAACAAATAGTTGTACAAATTAACTTTTATGCCATTGCAGCAAATTAAATAAAAGCATACCCACAATCATGTATACAGGGTGATTCACAACCTTATGGACACAGAGCAGGGGTAGGAGCTGAAAACAAGTCGAGTTTCCATTTAAGTTTTTTTTCTCAGGCCCATCGTTAACGAGATTTAACGGTATTAAAGTTTCAAAAAAATTTTGGGGTTTTCGCTACATCCCTTATCCTGATGCGAATCAGGAGAGCAGAATAATGTTTAAAGAGGTAGCGAGCAAATATGAGGAGCAGGGGTTTAGCGTTACGTTATTGTCTTTGTCGATGCAGATGCTCGCTATTGGCGAAATTTTGCTCACACACGAAAGGTTCGATTTGAATCAGGAGAGCAGAATGTTTAAGGAGGTGGAGAGCAAATATGAGAAGTAGTTTAGCGTTACGTTATTGCCTTTGTCGATGCAGATGCCCTCTTAATTCCTGCCCCTCATATTTGCTCGCGACCTCCTTAAACATTCTGCTCTCCTGAGACAAATCGAAACTTTCGTGCGCCAGCAAAATCACGCCAATAGAGAACATCTGCATCGGCAAAGGCAATAACGTAACGCTAAACTTCTGCTCCTCATATTTGCTCGCTACCTCCTTAAACATTCTGCTCTCTTGATACAAATCGAAACTTTCGTGTGCCAACAAAATCTCGCCAATAGAGCGCATCTGCATCGACAAAAACAATAACGTAACGCTAAACTACTGCTCCTTATATTTGCTCGCTACCTCCTCAAACATTCTGCTCTCCTGATACAAATCGAAACTTTCGTGTGCCAACAAAATCTCGCCAATAGAGAACATCTGCATCGACAAAGGCAATAACGTAACGCTAAACTCCTGCTCCTCATATTTGCTCGCCACCTCCTTAAACATTCTGCTCTCCTGATACAAATCGAATCTTCCGTGTGCCAACAAAATCTCGCCAATAGGGAACATCTGCATCGACAAAGGCAATAACGTAACGCTAAACTCCTGCTCCTCATATTTGCTCGTTACCTCCTTAAGCATTCTGCTCTCTTGATACAAATCGAAACTTTCGTGTGCCAACAAAATCTCGCCAATAGAGAACATCTGCATCGACAAAGACAATAACGTAACGCTAAACCCCTGCTCCTCATATTTGCTCGCTACCTCCTTAAACATTCTGCTCTCCTGATAGAAATCGAAACTTTCGTGTGTGAGCAAAATTTCACCAATAGAGAGCATCTGCATCGACAAAGACAATAACGTAATGCTAAACTACTGCTCCTTATATTTGCTCGCGACCTCCTAAAACATTCTGCTCTCCTGATACAAATCGAAACTTTCGTGTGCCAGCAAATGCACGCCAATAGCGAGCATCTGCATCGACAAAGACAATTACGTAACGCTAAACTGCTCACAGGATCTTGAAAAAACTGGCTGCAGTTAATGAGCATCCTTTTATTGAGTTCAATAAAACTTAAAACATTTAACTGTAAAATACTACACTACCATTTTAATACAAATGATCAAAATTTAGCGGTATCAGTTATCAGTTATTCTGATTATAAATTAACGTAAAAACTGCATGATCTCGATTCAAATTAAAATGCAACTTGCATTAAAACAAAATTAATTTTTAATTAACAGCAAACATTGGGATGTAGAGGCATGACGAATCCAGCTTTTGTTGTAGCACATTTTTGCTTCACGAGGTAAATGCTGAGTATTTCCGCTACTTGATGTGGCTGATCTTCATGCACTGCATGTCCTGTTTTAGCTAATACTTGCAACTGGAATTTACCTTAAAAACAAATGTCAGATTAACTATCGAAAATACAAAAAATGTTGAAATTAACATTGAATTGAACAATTGATGTGTTTACTGTCAATGCTAACAGTACGGCAAATTATGTAGGAATCATCAGATGTCAACAGTGGAGCTTCATTTATATCGAACACACTTGTCAGGCAATACGAATCTGAAAGACCCGTTCGACTAAGGGCTGGGACTCATTTATCCGATCCGACTCCGATCAGAGTACCTTCCGTCCATGCAAAAGTCCAATTTACAATTCAAATATCTTGTACAAAAAGTATAATTTATAAAGCGTTAAAGCATTCATTAGTTCTTGAGCAAAGATTTTTTTGAAAAAACATTTTCTTTGGAAGAGCAAAACATTTGAAAAACTTACCTCATAATGTGTTAATGTTTAATTAAGCTCATTTCATAAATTTTATTAAAACAAAAACAAAATGTATCACTGACGTAACCTAAATTAATGTTATTAGTGCTGTGAAGGAAAATACAATATGTACATTTTTTAGGAAAACCACTAGTGTAAAACGCAAAATTGGAGGAAAGATGCACATTTTTTAGTTTCCAGACCAAATCTGCTCTCTCCCAATTAAAGTTTTTGGACTTATTGAATGGTAAGTTTATAAGATTGATATAAGATGATTTATTCAGTCTTTTTGTAAATGTAGAGTGTAGTTGCAATTGGTCTTCTAACGCTTTTATTTAAATCTAATCTTTTTCAATGATGCAAACTGCAATATTTCTGTTAATACTAAGCTCTATTACTTTTTTTGTTGCAACAGTTCGTCAAAATCTTCTGGTCACAACGAAGATAACTGAAGAAAAACGTCCAGAACTGGCTAAGGCGAGCGAATGGTCGCCTAAAATATGAATCGAAAGCTAAAAACGGATGTTTTGTTTATAATTTAACTTTTGGTTATTTAATTTTTAAGTTTTTAATATCTGTGTGGTTAAATGCACCTGATTTTGTGCAAAAAAGTGAAGAGTTCATTTTATTTCAACCCAAAAATACAGTCCAATACACGTAACACTATCCTTCATAATTATTAAACCTAAGTTTGTCTCTCTCTGCTCAGTTTATAATCATCATAATTAATAATAAGTTTTACCGCGTACACCTGAAATAACTGCAATTGAACATAATGAAAATAATCCGAATATTTCGATGTTTTAATTTAATCACTCGAATACACCGGATTTTGATTTATATCTAACCGGCGATTATTATGATAATAATTACTACCAGAATAATTTGCCTGATTTTTCAGCAGACGTGAGTATTCCTGATCTTTCGACAAACATAAATTATTCCTTTGTTGTCGTAATTTGTGTGAACAAAACACTTTTTGTACAGAAAATGTAATTTTATTTTCGATCACAGCAACAGAAATAAGAAAATAAATTTAAACAACTAAACCGAAATAAAAGTGAAATTTTTACTTGATACAGGAAGTACCAAAAGTTTTATTAAACCCGAAATAGCCTATAAAAAATTCAAAATTTAATAAAACTAATTATTTTTAGCACAACTGTCCATGCAACATCCATCCATCATCCATAATGAAGTTGTCACAATTCCAATTTTCCCAAGCTTTTGGACACAAGGATATCATAAATTTTAACTTTTCAACGTTTCAGAAAAAAAAATGTTTTTAATATTTCTGGTTTATGCGTAATCCCCCAGTTGACTTGAGTTATACTTCTTTATTCAAATTCAAATATCAAAATCTGCTATTTTCCGATTAGAAGCAATGATCATAAAGAGACGAGAAGACGAGAACGAGAAGTGCATTCATCAACGAAAAGGTGGGCTAAATGACGAACAACTTGGGCTGAATTATATTTTTTGGTGGTGGTGGCTTCAGGTGTTTCTGTGACTTTAAAGGAGTTAATTGTGGAGGCGCTCATCGAATTGTGACAACCATATCGCGTTGTGACCAGGAACTTTAGTTTTAAGAAAAATGAAGAGAGACTGATGTTTTACTTTAGTTTGCCGTATATCTATCTAGAAGCAAATTGACAATTTATGTATGATTAATTTTAATAAAGTTATTTAAAAAATGCCCACGCACAGGTATACGCTGTATTTTTCAATTGTTATTTATTTACGAACGTCGTCCTTTCGCTTTCAGGTATACTGAAATGTTTCTACAAAAATTTAATTTAATTGGTACTTGGCGTACTTTCGGCGATATTCATAGAGTTGCGCTGAATATTACTAAAAGCCATATATATTCATAGCTTTAGCTCGGATTCATATGGAAAATGGTGAAGATGAAGCCCCTGCTGCTAACGACGAATGCGCGGCGGAAGAGCAGAAGGCAGTAGCAAAAAATAAAGTGCAATGCCAAACCTGAACCACAGCTCAGGTGGGAAGAAAGAAGGCCCAGTTGAAGATGTGAAACCGGAATGCGAAAGACTTAAGAGATTTAGTGAGAATCGAAACGAAATAAGAGCGCAAGAAAAGAAACAGATTTGGAAAGTTCAGGAGGAAAACATGAAAATATTAAAGAAGGAAAGAAGACGAAAACGAAAACCGATGAAGTATAACCGTTAAAACGATGAAACCCTGGAGTGGATATGAGAGTGAATCCGAGGCGGATTCTATGTCGGGCGGCCGAATGTAGGAATTTAATATGTATCCACTATCCGTCATAATTTACCAAGCATGTAACAATCGCAACGGGGGGATAACAACAAAAAAATAAACGACAAAACGACGCGGAAAAGACGCTAATTTGAAGAAAGCCACATAAATCAATTTAAAAAAAAACTACATTTAGTCCAAAAGTCAGTAAGATTTCTTGCCATGCGAAAACACGTCAGCCACACTTGTAGTGTCGGTTAACCAACCCTAGACCATTAGCAAAATCCTACAGTATTTGCGTTAAAAAGCAACCGACATGCTTTTTAAACGAATTATGTAGGTTTACCGACAACTATTGATCCTAATTTAAAGTTTAGCAATTTGTAAATTATAACCTTGTTACAAGTTCTGCCCCAAAGTCGTTTTAATGGCCTATTTTTCTGCGGACGCCGATGTTGACACATGCAAAACACGATCTATTTCAATAGCGCAAATGTCATGCAAAATATACAACTTATAGAACCACCATACAGTGAAAGAAGCCGTTTCAAGGTTGGAAGTTGAAACCCACATTTGCGGCATCTCTAACTTCTGGAGGTGTACAGCACATTGAATTTACGACATTCAGTGTTTCACTTTTAAATGCTTACAAAAGTACGCTTTGCAAAATTACAAACATCAAAACGTGACATGTGAAAAATGGCATTGACGTAAAATTGACATGGAGATGGTTTGACACCTTCGACTTCGCCTCGGGTGTCAAACGTCGTCGTCCTTGTATCGAAAACTACAATTGTGATTCAAGTTAATTAATTCAAAGTTTTTCCTCGACTTAATGCTGAATATTTTTGCGTCATGTGACATTAAACAAAGAGAAAAATTATTAGATGGTATTAGAATTAAGAGTATTACCTTGCATTTGGCCTACTGTAAGTTTTGTGTCCAAACCGGAAATGTTTGCCAGCATTAAAATCCTTGGGACATTGGTACCTAGAAACTTTTCGCTCAAGCCTTGAAACCAGTGTTTCCAATACGTTTCGGTTTTGCTTAAGTCAATTCTCCAAGTATACCCTGAACCTTCATCTCCTAAAAGGAGAAGCCATAGCAAATATTAGACACTGAAAGTTAAAAATAATTTTGCAAATATATTCGCATACAATTGTTTTAATTTGTATTTTTATCACTAATCCCACCTTTTCCAGTCGATGTGGTCGGCACTTTGAACGTTTTTTCTTCTGCCAACGGAGGCTTGCCACATACATCGTGATCAGCAACTTCTTCAACACCTTCTCTGATAGTGAAGTTCGATGATCTGAAAGAACTCTCTGCAGAATGTGGCATATCTGGTACATTCATGTTCTCAAAAAGATTCCATTCATCACATGCCATGGCTCCTGACTGCACGCTAGCACATAGAAAAGTAATATACTGTACATTAAATGGAAAATGGAAAAGAGCGGGAGACAAGACTTACTTGACAATTTGCCCAGGCATTGATACTCTTGCTGCCTCCAGATTATGACATTGGCCACCTTTATAGCTGAAGTAATAATAATAATAATAATAATAATAATAATTGCAATGTAAAGTGTATGTGCTTCTATTATTGGAAATTAGATAAGGCGGTGTCGCCGTGGGGGTTCAAAACGTATGCGTACAATATCTACAATAACAATAGAGAGGGAAAAAAATAGGAAATAAATTTACAACTGACTAAAAAAATCGATAAAAATGGTCTGATTATCTACTCTTAAACGTAAATATACCTATCTATTACGGCAATCAAAAAATCAAGGGTTCCATATGGTTTGTATGACTAAAGTGTCAGTGTAACAAATCTGAAGGGCACTAATCAAATACAAATATCGGTCCTCGACTTTCGTAAGACTAACGACTAGAATGAGTAGGTACTTGAATAACAGATCCGAAGTAACGAGTATTGGATCCAAAAAGAACTAGTCGGTACGAGTATTCAAAAGTAATCAAATCTCACACCATTACTTACCACCACTGAATCGCATGAGGTATACTTTTAAAATGTGTGGGGCGTCCTCTTAAAATACTCTGCATTGACGAAAGTGCATCTAAAGCTGTACCTTCCACCACATCAATAACGCACAATCCCACTAAGCTTTGTATTTGATATGATGCATTAACAGCGATTGCTCCGCCCATGCTGTGTCCTACTAACACTATTGATGACTGTCCAGCGGGTGCAATGGCGTTGGCAACGTTAATTACGTCCCTAAAAGATTAGATACATATTAGGAAATAAATCGGCATATGGAGGATAAACAATAAATGCAGTGGCAAGCTAATTTTAGGCGAAAACTTGATCGGAAGTTTGCGAGTTTAGTTTTGAATTTACTTAGGGCAGTTATCCTTTTGTAAAACTTAAGATGTAATCCTTTGAGCACTTGACAAGTTAATCAAAATCAAAATAATGTTGGGAAAAAGAAGCAATAAGATATATTGTTAAATAATTGCAAACAAAAGCTATTCTCGGATATAATACGAAATTCAAATAATAAAAATATATCGGCGTAGACAATAATTAATGATATTAGCAGGAACTCAAGACAAAATAATATAAATGTTGTAGGCAGTAGCCAGTACGTAGCTGATGAATTTAATGCCTACTGCAGCCGAATTACCCACTTCTTATTGTCTGCTAAAGCGTCAATAAATATCAGTTCCCTAGTAGAACATAATTGTCGAGAAATAAGTTTAGAGCACACAGATCGAGAAGAGGTTCTTCAAATAGTCTACAAGTTGAAAAACAAACATAGTAGCGGCTACCATGAAATATCGAACCATCTTATTGGCTCCATTAATTCCCGTAATGTATTACCCGAGACTAACCAGAGAGCCCATTGAGATCTTTAAACATGACAACAATTTTAATAGGAAAGAAGAGGTAAAGGTCCTTAATTCTGATTGGAAACGCGTTTTGCGGCAAACAGCGTGTGCGCCAACACATTTGAAGCCCCGCCCACTCCTCACGCATGAGCTCACACGGCCGCGCCGCGTATACGACAGAGGATCCAGTAGTTGAACCAGTCTTAGTCGGAAAGCACGGGAGATCACTTCGCCCAGTGCCTCATCGCCTTCCATAATGTCCACCGCAGTTGTGGACGAAACTTCAGGAAGAAATTCCCATGGACCACGGCTTCAAAGCCCGGAAAACATTTCTAAATGTTAACTTCCTTTGTTTTGTGTTTACCCATGGTTACTACAATATTTAATAATTAAAAAGAAACAGGTATTTACGTGATGTTAGGTTTGTTAGGCAGATTACCTTGAAAAATAAATACATTGTTGGCATCATTCTGATCTAGTCTTTTGCAAATATATATCTTAGGTTTTAATAACAATTATTTTTTTACTATTTTTCCTGTACCCCTAAAACTCCCCCAGACAACAACTAGTCGCATGCCTTATAGGTCGTAAAAGCATATGTCATTGCAGTTATGAACGAAATGGTAAGAGGTGACCCTTGTGGCAGCCATGGTTCAGGAGAAAATTACCACGAAAGAAAGGAAACTGTGTTGTCGATACAAATTTCTAGACGTTTTTTAACGAGTAGGCTCAGGACAATGCATAATAAGAACTTACGTGTATGTGTGAAGTTTGTTGAGTTGCAATTTATGCGATACACTGTTAAAAGTATTGTTGAAATCAACAACGCTCTGTTGATGATGTATGTCCGTTCGTGTGTAAAATAGGGTATTTTTTTGAAGAAACATAAAATTACTTACTCAGTCAAAGTCTCCAAAGATAAATCACCATCATTATCAGTTTTTGTATTTCCATGCCCACGAAAATCCAGCGCAACAATCTGGCATTCTATATTTGTAAACATTTCTTCCTATAACCAATAAAGTATGATGTAAAATGCATCATAACAATAATTTGAGAGAGCGATAGTGATAAAGAGTAACAGTGATTAAGAGCGAATATTGAAAACGTAAGTGCTACAACAATATCCAGCCAAATTATATACAGGGTGGACAACTGAAAACAAAACCGTTCAAGTTTAGGGTTCTTAATGACATTTAAAATCTCTCGCATACGTCATTTTTTTTGTTCAAGGGGAAACTCCTATCATTAACGCCTTGAGCAGGGTGCCATTCACCCCTAAAATTTTGTTTTCGATCATGCTTACTTCGTGACATGAGATGTCATTTTGACATTTTAAAATAGAATAAAAGGGATTTTTCGAGGCTTAAATGGACGAAGTAGATGCTTTGTAGCTTGTCATGAACGTCATGAACGTCGCAGGTTCAAGTTTAAGGCTATAAACGGACAAATCGGGCAGTCCGTTTCTATAAACGCAGTTGAAGCACAAACTACGTTTAAGGTTCTGGTTAAATTCGTTTCGCGCGTCAAATTCAGTTTTATAGGTTACACTGGTTTAAAGCTGCGTGGCTTGAACTCTTTTCTCACCGGCCTGGTATGCCAAATAATAAGCTTCTGAGAATAAATGTAAAATTGGCAGATATCGTGCCCGAATTGCGTGGGTCGTGGAGTTTTAGAATTTCTAAAAAGATTGACCACAGTTTTGGCTCAAAATGAACAAAATTAGGAAACAAAAAGAAAGTGGCTCTGTATACAGGGTGTCCCAAAAGTAATGGCACAAAACAAAATGGTGGATTACTGGGGTGAAAATATGATGATTTAACACAACTTACCTTAGTCCGAAAGTTGACGGTTACCGACATACAGGGCATCAGAGTTACATTTTAATTTCAGTTTTTCGTTATTCTACTTTGAACGGAGCTGCATATTTTGTAACGGTTGAAAATGGAAATTAGCCAATGGTTGACCTGTCTGCTAACCCGTTGTT